CTGACCTCATTATGTGAAATTGGCTGTTTGTTTCTTTCACTTCTTTCCTCTTTCTCCCACATGAAAATTCTGAGACAAGAAAAATATACCTCATAAGGATCTTTTATCCTGGTGGAAGAATTTTTCTAATTTTTCCCACAGAGATAGCCACAATTTTAAAGGCTTTAAAGTCCTCAAATCAGGTTGCTTCTAGTTTGCTCATTCATCTTAAAATATGTCTGTTAAAACTTGCTTTTGGGTGGGAGGTATAGCTCAATGATGGGGCACTTGCTTATCACTGGACTCCATCCCCAGCATTGCAAACAAACAAAACTGTTTGGTGTTTGCATTTGTGTGATTTTTTAAAATTAAGTGACTTGAGACACATGAATTTAAATTTGATGATCGATATGTCCCATTTTACCTATTAATTTATATTGTAAGCAAATATCACAAGTATCATATATATATATTTCTTTTTTCTAAGACTGTGTATATGTAAATATAGGTGAAGTAGTTGGCAGTCTCGTTTATGATTGAAGCTTCTGTGTTTATCCCGGTCTTTTTTTGCCTGAGCTCCATATCTAAGTTTTTAGAAATGGAAGCAGAAAACTATACACTTAATCCAGTATGTTTCTCTTAACAGTATCAATTGCTGCAACTTATTTTCCTCTCTTTTTCTTTTGTTGTATGGTACTGGGGTTTGAACTCAGGGCCTTAAGCTTGCTAGGCAGGTGCTCTACCACTTGAGCCACTCTGCCAGCCCTTTTTTGTGTTGGGTATTTTTGAGATAGGGTCTTATGAACTATTTCCCAACCATGACCCTCCTGATCTCTGCCTCTTGAGTAGCTAGGATTACAGGTGTGAGCTACCAGCACCCAGCTTTCTTATTTTCTCTAGCTGGCATAAAAGTATACTTTAACTTTCAACTTTTTGAGAAAAATGTTTGCTTTATATTAATAATTCTGAAATAAAGGAGAATGGGCTGAGGTGTCAAAGAGCAGGAAGGGCTGTAGGATTTTCTCTAGATCCTTCTCTATATAAATTAGTGTGGTATTTTAGAATAATTCCAAAATAAGTTATGCCTCAGTTTTAAGTTTGGTTTTTATAAGCTTTGGGAAGAATAGCAGCATAATGAGTTAACACATACTCAGGCTAGAGATGTGAGAAAGTTTATTGCCCTAAAAAGTGTAGGAGGTAACAGTGGAAACTGACTGCTTGAAGACATGAGTTCTGAACCAGACTGACTAGATGGAAGTCTTGCTTTGTGGCTTACTATGTGCCTTTGACAAGTTGCTTGAAAGTTATTTAATTTCTCTTGTTTCAGTGTCCCTATCTGTAAGATGGGGAAAAATGCTGGGGCATAATAAACACAATATAAATGTTATTTTATGTATGTGTTAGTAAAAATCAGAAGAGTAAGTGTTGTAAAATTTCCTTCGCTTATCTACACCTCAGCTAAAGTTTATATTCATGAAGCAGTTAAAGAATTTATGGTGGATAGTATGGTTTCTTAGTGTTATGATCAGTGTTTTATAAGTAGGATGAATAGCTCAAGGGGCTGAATACCTGCTTAGCAATCATGAAGTCCTGAGTCCCATTTCCAGTCCCAACAACAAAAAAAAAAAAACAGAAGAAGATTAATCCTTCAAAAATTTTGTCCATACTTCCATTTTGTTTCTGAGGCAGACTATTTAGATAAATGTACACTGTTTCTGTTGGGTCACTTCAAATAGATTTCCCAAGGTTCTTTTAAAAAATAGATTTTTGTACTTCATTTAAATTACTTGTAATGGATCTTGGCTTACATAGAACCAAACTGCTGAGCATTCAGATTTTTAAATGAAAAATTTTTAACAGTACAGAAAGTGAAAACAAGCATGCTGTTATAAATGCAAAGAATAAGTCTTCAGTAGTTATAAGAAATAATTTGAAAACTAAGAGGATGAGGAAAGGTAAAGATTACAGTGAAAAATAAAAACAGTTGACATATAATGGGTGTCTTTCATTCACCTGGCATTTATTAAGTGCCTGTACGGCACTGTCTTATGATCCCAGGGTAAAAAGGACTAAGTGCATTCCATAAGGAGCTTAGCAACTAGTGAGTTGGACTGGGTATTAAAGCAAGAAATGGCTGCGCTGTTTAGATTAGGGATTTTCAGGAGATGAAAGATTACTTCCAGCATGAAAAACAGGGCATGTGTCGTAAGCATAAACAAAATGAAATTATATTTTAGTTATTAGGATGTGTAGACGATAAATTGCAGTCATCCTTGGGAATCTGTGGAGAATTGGTTCCACACCCCCAATAGATCCCTAAAGCCTCAGATTCATGAGTATTTTATATAAAATGGCATAATATTTGCATGTAACCCATGCAGTCCATTTGTGTACTTTGAATCTGGATTACATGTAATACCTATATAGTGTACTTGTTACATAAACGGTTGATATACGGTATTGTTAAGGAACAATCACACTATTGGGGATAATAACTGCACACTTCAGTGAATGTGCAGCTTTTCTCTGAATATTTTTGATCAGTAGTTGGATAAATCCCTGCATGTAGAACCACAGGCACAGAGAATTATTGATTTGGAAACTAATGGTGTATTTGGAAAATATTTTTTCTTCCAGCCTTCGTGCTTGCAAACAGGTGCTCTACTGCTTGAGCCAGCTTCCTGTCAGTTCATAGAGTGAAAATTTGTAGACCCACAAGAGATCTCAAACCAGTTAGCAGTTACCTAGTTATTTACAAGTGAAGACACTGAGACCCACAGAGGCAAATTAACTGGCCTAAGGTTACACACATAGTAAGGGGACACATATCTTCAACCTGGTCTGCTCAGCATTTTTCTGCCATATTGAGAAGCCATTTTTTTGCTATTATTATATATCACATTAATTTCTAAAATACTTCAGAAAGCCAGTGACCTCTCTATTTAAATTTTTATTGGCCTTGTACAGCTGAAGTTTAGTCAAGGCTTTTTTAGCTGCCTATATCATTATTCTTATATGGGAGAGAAAATATCGTTTGCTCCCCCCATCTAAGTTCATGGCCAAGGACCCCATAGCAAAAGATATTTCAACAAGGGAAAATCATATTGATTTATGTAATATGATTTTTATGTGACATAGGAGCCTTCATAGGGAAATGAAAATCCAAAGACACAGTTAAACCTGGGTATTTTTATGTTACATTTGATGGGGAGCAGACAGTCATGAGAAAATATGATAGGTTTCAGGAAATAAGTTCTTAATGGAAATAAACTGGAGGAACTTAGCATCCTTCATTTGTTCAGATTATCTTCTGTGGCCCTTTGTGTTGATGTAGAAGGGTGTCCTTTCCACCAGACATAGCAGGGCACCTTTCACATGACAGTATCATGACCTAATTTAGAGGATGTCAAAAAGAAATCTGCCTGCCCTCTGTTTTACCTGCTTCAAGAGAAAAGAGCAGGAAGAAGCCAGAGAGACCTACCCCTTCTGCTGTTTTTTAGTTTGCTAAGGTAGCATGTTTTAGGGTAGTGTGTCCTAAGCCCTGCCATTTTTCTCCCTCAGCCTTCTGCATGTTTGTTGAACATTCTGAGAGAGAGAGAGCACAGCAACTTTACTTTGTCCGTAGTAGAACCCAGATAGAATCAGAGATGAAGGCTGAGGAAAATTATCATGAATGGCATTATTTTATCTCACACCCAGAAAAAAAAAAAAGAATAGGGCTGTATTTGTCCACTCAGTAGTTTGCTGCTAAATTTTAAATTTTGCTTGAAAATTAAAACCACATGAAGATTCCACCTCACCCCTGTTAGAATAGCCATCATTAGCAACACCACCACCAACAGGTGTTGGCGGGGATGCGGGGAAAAAGGAACCCTCTTACACTGTTGGTGGGAATGTAAACTAGTACAACCACTCTGGAAAAAAATTTGGAGGCTACTTAAAAAGCTAAACATTGATCTACCATTTGATCCAGCAATACCACTCTTGGGGATATACCCAAAAGACTGTGACACAGGTTACTCCAGAAGCATCTGCACACCCATGTTTATTGCGGCACTATTTACAATAGCCAAGTTATGGAAACAGCCAAGATGCCCCACCACTGATGAATGGATTAAGAAAATGTGGTATCTATACACAATGGAATTTTATGCAGCCATGAAGAAGAATGAAATGTTATCATTTGCTGGTAAATGGATGGAATTGGAGAACATCATTCTGAGTGAGGTTAGCCTGGCCCAAAAAACCAAAAATCATATGTTCTCCCTCATATGCGGACATTAGATCAAGGGCAAACACAACAAGGGGATTGGACTTTGAGCACATGATAAAAGCGAGTGCACACAAGGGAGATATGAGGATAGGTAAGACACCTAAAAAATTAGCTAGCATTTGTTGCCCTCAACGCAGAGAAACTAAAGCAGATACCTTAAAAGCAACTGAGGCCAATAGGAGAAGGGGACCAGGAACTAGAGAAAAGGTTAGATCAAAAAGAATTAACCTAGAAGGTAACACACATGCACAGGAAATCAATGCGAGTCAACTCCCTGTATAGCTATCCTTATCACAACTAGCAAAAACCCTTGTTCCTTCCTATTATTGCTTATACTCTCTCTTCAACAAAATTAGAGGTAAGGGCAAAATAGTTTCTGCTGGGTATTGAGGGGTTGGGGGGGAGAGGGAGGGGGTGAAGTGGGTGGTCAGGGAGGGGGTGGGGGCAGGGGGGAGAAATGACCCAAGCATTGTATGCACACATGAATAATAAAAAAATAAAATAAAATAAAATAAATTTTGCTTGATAAATTCACTAAATTGGACAGGGGTTGATTTTATTTTAAATCACAGATACTTCCTGAAAAAAAAAATTTTTGTTCTTTGTGGGTTTATTTTTGGTGATGGGAGCAAGGGAAGGAGAGCTGTGTATATTTTCTAGTTAAAATTGAATTTGAATTTTACTTAAGTATGAAAATTGTGAAATAAATTCTGTAGTGAGTACTAACACCATTTGTTATACATAATAGGATAGACATGATTCAGTTGATGCTGAAAATATCTGCCATGTGTGGCACATGAATATCGAGGCCCTTCCAGAATGGATAAGCTGTCTAATACAAAAGGTAGGTTTTTTAGTTTTGGAGTAAAACAGGAACATACAGCTGTCAGAGTATTTTTGTCCTCCTTTTAGAGCTGCTTTTCTTAAGTAAGGTGTTTTATGATACGTGAGAAGTTGTGTTACTCTTGATTACACATGCAGACTTCTTCATTTCTATCATTGATTTTATTATTATTAATTATCATTACTCTTATTCTCTGTCTCAGAATTTAAGCTTCATATATCCCCTTCCTTGAATGTTCTTCTCACAGATACCTGCTTTGTTCCCCCATTTTCATAGTTCTTTATTGTCAGTGTCATGTTGCCTGACCAACCTATCAGTTGTCCCTCCAATTATGCCTCTTCACCCCGCCTTTCTCCTTTCTCTGATTTATACCCCTATCTATATTCTAGAGACTCATTCACACTATTAGTAATACACACTATTAGTTAATATACACAAGTATAAATATATGACATAAAATTTGTAAGTATACGCATACAAAAAACATTCACCCTCTCCCCACACACATAACAGTTTACTTATCTTGTTAATTGCTTATTCCCCAATAGAATACAAGCTCCATAAAGTCAAGAAGTTTTGTATTTTGGTTGTTACTGTAGCTTCAGTACCTAGAATAGTACCCGTTAAGTGAATGAAATACCTCCTATGTATCATCTGTATATATACACGCATACCCCTATATAGACATACACAAATGCACATACACATATAAAATAAGATGGATAATTAATGACTTATTGGTATAATCAAAGTGAAAATGATCTTTCATGAAGTATTGGAAGAGTAAGAACCCTCTTGTTAATAAATTATTTTCACAATGCAAACTACCTGGCTTAGAAAAGTGTAAGTAAAATTATTTCTGGAAAAATATAATTACATTTCTCTACTGGGTAGCCTACTTTTTTTCTTAAAAAAAAACCTAACATTTGATAGCTATCCCTTGCATCCATCTTTACATTGTAATGAGTTCCTGGGAGAAAGCCAGTGCACTGCTTATAAGTGTCCTGAATTTTACAAAATATATTAGGACACTAAAGATATCCCAATACCTTTGTGGAAAAGATAATTTTAAAGCAAGTGCCTTTATTTTTTTAACCCAAGTATAGAAAATACACTATCCAGTGCATGCAATCAATATCTCTTGGTTGTATGTAAAAACCCAGAAAGAGCTTTATTCTGTTGGTTGGGTAAAGCTCCCTCCCCCGTGCTTGGTATGCAGGAAGGGTATCAAAACAGACACTTTTCCGTGAGATTTTACTTGCAAATTAAGCTCTGTAGACTGATTTGCTTCCTGGTTGCACAGAGTATTTTTCTTTTCATTAGTTTACACTGTATCCATATTCAACCTATTGTTTAGAGACTGTCTTGGAATTCTTCCTCTGCTGTGGATGGGCATGATTTGCAGTGTGTTATTCTAGAACTCTGTAGCCTTATCTCTCTTTATTAGAGTGCTTGTTTCTACTTGCTGTTCTGTGTACTAATCAGAAAAGGGGAGAGCTAGCCTTTTTTGTAGCATAGAGAACTTTCATGTAGTTGGCTTTTTTCTTTTCTTTTTTCACTTGCATTCTCTTTGATTACTTTACAATGAAAGCATTGTCTTTATTTTCTTTTATTACCTGTAGGCACAGTGGACAGTTGGAAAACTGAATTGCCCTTTCTGTGGGGCCCGTTTAGGGGGCTTTAATTTTGTCAGCACTCCAAAATGTTCCTGTGGCCAGCTTGCAGCTGTGCACCTCTCCAAGAGCCGGACCGATCATCAACCAACACAGGCAAGTGGACTAATGAGACCATCGCTGAAATACATGTCACATCCTGGAGTTCAGTCAGGTTGTGACAAGGAAACTCTGCTGACAGGTAGTGGCTCCCAAAACAGAAACCACAGGCTTTTAAATATGGCCCAAAATAATAATGGCCTTGGAAGATTAACAGAAGCACTCTGCCTGGAGGTACGGTCAACATATTTTGAGATGAAGAATGAAAAATGGCTCTTCAAAACATTAGATCCAAAATACCAGCTTTTTGTTCCTCAGCTTGTGACTGGCAGATGCACCACGAGAGCTTTTCATAGAAAATCACATAGTTTGGATCTGAACATCAGTGAGAAGCTGACTCTATTACCCACTTTATATGAAATACATAGCAAGATTACTGCCTATCCCCGGCTAAATGAAACACAGCCTACTGACCTTTTGGGCTTGCCTTCACAGTCTAGTAAAAATAGCTGTTCCTTTCACAATCCATCTAGCTTTGATCCTAATATGCTGCTTCAAAGATTTTCCGTGGCTCCCTGTGAGACCCAGACACAAAGAGGAGAATTTCAGTGTGGTCTGGAAGCTTCTTCAGTGTACTCCAATCATGCCAATACTAGCAATCTGACTTTCCTGATGGATCTGCCCTCAGCTGGGAGGAGCATGCTGGAGGCCTCAGACCAAGAAGACCACCTCTCCCCGCTGGACTTCCTGCACTCAGCTAGTTTTTCATTGGGCACTATTAACCAGACGCTGAATAAGAGAGAAAGGAACAAGTTGAGGAATCTAAGAAGGAAACAACGAAGGCATGAAAGGTGGCTACAAACGCAGGTAAATCTTTTCTTAATGAGTGTGCTAAAAATTCCGTATTCATAAATATTGGGGTTTGGGAAATGAAGCTAACTGAATACCTGTATTATAAAACCTTTGTTTTAATTTTTGAAATGATATTTCTCAATAGGTACACTTAATAATCATGCAGCCCTGTTACATCTGGCAATGTGTAGCCCTGTTTTTATGCTTCAAATATATCTAGAAAAAGCCTCTTTTGGACAGTTTTCCCCAATTCTGCTAATATTTTAGAGGAACATTCACCTCATGATATTAAGACTGGAAGGTTTGTCACAAATTTGTAAATTTTTAAAATTTACTATGTGATTTTTACTTCAGGTTGAATTTTTAAAAATGTGTCTATAAATCTAATCAGGCAACAGTCATGCACTTTTAAAAAAATTTATCTTCCTGGATATTTTCAAGAACCCTTATTTAATTATGTGCTTACATGATCCAGATGTGATTGATTATGCTAAATTGTAACAACTATCGAAAGGATAACTTACCCGTCCTGCAATTTTGTAGGAGTGTTTGCTTCTCTGTTATTTGAACGACATGTGTGCCCCCTGCTAATGTGCCTCAACGTCTTGTGTGTGAAAGGATTGAACACACAGTGAGGTGCAGGGAAACCAGTCAAAGCCAATCGACGAAGTGCTATGAAAATTTGGAAGTTTGAGGACTGGGATATTTCCACATAAACTTATTTTTTGCAAATTTCCTTTATTACTGCTTATTACTTATCTATGGTAATTCTTATTAATTAGTATGTTGAATATTAACAATGTCTAGAGAACTAAAATGTATAAAGTCATAATTTCATATAATAGTTCACTCTTTTAAAGACAGTTAAATGAACTCATTATGGCTTATGATCCTAGCCATAAACGCAATAAAATAAAATTAGTGCAGTGAGTGCTTCAGACAGAGTTAGGTAGGTTTTTCATCTTTTATTTACATAGTATAACTCATAGAGATAACTTTAACTCTGTTTATTGTATTTTTGACTAATAATAATATTCTAGTTTGTTTATTCATAAGTGATAGTATAATGTGATATCAAGGTACTTTATAGAAGTAAGTTTTAGCGTTATTATACTTCGTAGCATAATTTATTGAATCTGTAAAATTCAAAATGTTTATTAAGAATTTCACTTATACCTAAATAAATTAGAGATGATCATATGTTAAGTGAATATTCAGGAAAAATACCTTAATAACTATGTGGAGTGCTCTGAAATTGTTATTTTGCAAATAGAAATTTAAAAGAAGTATCAAAATTATATTTACTGTATACTGATAATATATGCAAATAACATCTTTGCAATTTAAAAAATTTAACTCTTAGGACCTTCTGAAAACCTCAGCTCTGTTATCGATCATTTTACAGCATAGGAATGTTCTATTTACATAGTTCAGAGCAAAACAAGAGCTCTAGGGTTTTTTGGTATAGATGAATTTATTTTTATTCATTCACACACATATATTTAAATTGATCAGAATTAATGATTTTTAGTTAGACCTGTGCCAGGGCACAGTCCTAATAGGTTTGATTGGTTGCATCAGAGTTACAAGCAAACAAATGCCCACTGTCTCTCTAGCAGACAATTTAAAAGATTAGAGAAACAAAGAAACTTTGTGAGTTGGAGATACAAGTACACACTCTTGTGAGAGCGAGAAGGAATAATAGTAATTTTAAGACTCAGTTGGAGGTGTGGCTCAAGTGACAGAGTGCTTGCCCCAGTATCACACACACACACACACACACACACACACACAAAATGTAATCTAGTTCAAGCAAAAAGGACAAATCCTAGCAAGAGTTAATGTCTAAAATAAATGGCACAGTTATGTGCCTTATTTTATGCTAAATAAAGATTCATTCTGTAAACATTTTTCAAATGCCTGTTTGGCATACAAAGGCTTTAGGTAATGGTTTCAGTGCAGATTCGGCCTGTTTTTTATTTTATTTTATTTTATTTTGGTGGTGCTGGGGCTGCAATCCATGGCCTTGCACGTGGTAGGTAAGTTCTCTACCACTGAGACATATCCCCAGCCCCAGATTCTGCTCTTTTTTAATGAGGAAGACAAGCCCACAGAGATAAAGAAGCTATTATTATTGATGATAATTTTTATGTTTTAGCATATTTTCTTAATTAAAACAAAAATCTGGTTACTTGGATACCTGTTTTTTCATCACTGAGTTTTTGGAGGTCCTCGTGTATTCTGGACATCATTCCTTGCTGGTGCAGTTTGCAGATGTTTTCTGCCATTCTGTAGGCTCTTTATCCTGTTGACTGTTTCCTTTGCTGTAAAGAAGACTTTCAGTTTGATGTAATCCTGTCTGCCCATTTTTCTTTTGTTTCCTCTGCTTTTGAGGTCTTATCCAAACAGTCTTTACTCCTGCCTGTGTCTTGAAGCATCTTTCTTGTTTTCTTTTAATAGTTCAAGTCTTTCATTTAAGTCTAATACACTTTGAGTTGATTTTTGTTACAAATGAGAGATAGGAGTCTAGTTTCAATTCTTCTACATATGGATATCCAGTTTTCCTAGCAGCATGTATTAAAAAAAAAAAAACCCTGATCTTTCCCAGTGTGTGTTCTTAGCACCTTTGTTGAAGTTCATTTGGCTCTAAATGCATGAGCTTACTTCTTGCCTCTGTATGCTCTCTGTTGGTCTGTGTTGTCTGTTCTTATGCCAATACCTATTGTTTTGATTACTATAGCTTTGTAGTATATTTTTAATTCAGGTTATATAATGCCCCCTGCTTTGTTCTTTTTGCTCAATATTGCTTTTGCTATTTGAGTTTTTTATTTTTTGCCTATTTGGTTTTTTCATGTGTGATTCCATATAAATTTTAAGATTGTGTTTTCTATATCTGTGAAGAATGTTATGGTAGTTGGACACGCATTGAATTGACATTTTAACAACAATTATTCCAGTCCATGGACACAGGATGTCTTTCCATTTTTTGTATCACTTTCAACTTATTTCGTCAGTGTTTTTATAGTTTTAATTGCGGGGTTATTATTAATGATAATGTTTAAATTTCAAATAGTTAGGAAATCTCAATTTCTAAATTTTACTTGACCTTTAAAATGAATTTTTGCATAAGCTGGAAATCTTTCAGTGGCATATACCATGATAAAAAGTGAATTTTTAAAGCTTAGAGATGTAAATAAGGCTGACGTTGGGTCTGAACTACGGCCAGCTCTCGGTGTTAGGTTAATTAAGCATCAGTGTTGGGGAAGGGAATAGCACTGAGTCACATGTAGCCAGCAAACCTCACTTTTATTCAACATGGGTCTTTTTTCATGATGTACTGGGATTTAAACTCAGGGCCCTGTGTTTGATGCTCTAACATTTATTTGAGTCATCCCCCCAGACCTTCTTTTTTCTTAATTACCATGGAATAAAATTTATTTATTCTTGGCATATAGATACAATGTAAACACATGTCTAGATTCATGTAATGCCACCACAGTGGGGACACAGTCCTTCATGCTGTACACCTTTAAAATCATGCCTCTGTCTGCCCTTAATCCCGGAAAAATCGTTGTTCTGTTCTTCATTAATTTTGTCATTTTGATAATGTTATAAAATAGTATAATGTTATAAAAATAGAATCATAGGGTATATAATCTTTTGAGACTGCTTTCTTTTCTCAGAAAAATTGCCTATGAGATTTAGTGATTTTTGTACATTTATATATAGTTCTTTTTTAATGTCCAGTTGTATTCCATTTTATGAATTAACCATGGTCTCTCTATTCAGCTGTAGAAGGACAGGTAGGTTGCTTCAGATTTTAGCAATTACAAATAGAACTGCTATAAACATTCATGTATGTATTTTTGTGTGAACCTTCATTTTCATTTCTCTAGGGTAAACACTCAGGAGTGGGATTGCTGGATCATATGGTAAGTGTGTATTTAATTATGTAAGAAACTGTCCAGTTGTTTTTCCAGAATAGTGGTACCATTTGTATTTGAAGCAGCAATGCATGAGATTTCCAATTGCTGTGAAAGCAAATGCCTGGTATTTTTTATTTTAGTCATTCAAATACTACACATATTTAGTGGTATCATTGTATGGTTTCAATGTACATTTCCCTAATGATGTTGAGTATATTTCATGATTATTTTCAATGAAGTGTCTATTCAAAGCTTTTGTACACTTTTAATTGGATTATTTTCTTCTTATTCAGTTTTGAAAATTCTTTATATATTTTGTATACAAGTCCTGCAGTAGATATTTGATCTGTAAATTTTTCCTCTCAGTTCATAGCTTGTCTTTTATTCTTTTGACAATTTTCTTTTTCTGGAAGAGCAAACATTCAATTTTGAAGATGTCCAAATTTTCAACAAAAGTTTATTGTGTTGTGCTTTTAATGTTATATCTAAGAACTACTCTATAACTTAGGTTGTAAAGACTTTCTCCTGTGGTTACTTCTAAGTTTTATAGTTTTATGTTTTGCACTCAGAATTATGATTTATTTTGATTTTTTTTAAATATGAGTTTTAAGTCAAGACCCATTATGTTTCATAGAAATGCCCAATTGCTCAAGCACCGTTTCATGAAAACATTGACCTTTCTCAAAGGAAATGCTTTTGCAACTTTGGCAAAAATCAATGAGGTGTATATTTCTGGGCTGTTTCATTCATTTTATTCTTATCTCTATCTTTTTGCCAGTGGCCCTTTTTCTTACTGGAGCTTTATCATTAGTCATAAAACAGGATACTGTAAATCCTCCAACTTCATTGTTATTTTTCAAAATTGTTTTAGCTACTCTAGTTCCTCTGATTTTCTAAATTTTATTTGAAAATCACATATAACTCATACTGGAAATATATATTTGGTTGTTTGTGAATCAGAATTATACTAATGTTCCAAACATTGAAGAGTTAGTCCATATTATTCTCCTTCTCCTCAAGCAGAAAATTAATGGTTTATTGAAATGAAAGCTTCAGGAATGAAAATGTGACATTTTAATTTAATGATACATATTTTTGATGGTTTTACTGTGCATGGAAATATAGCCATCAAGTGGTCTTTTTAGGAAAAGATACAATTAATAAGAGTAAAAGAACATCATAACCATCAATCATGTACCGACATAGATCAGTGTTATTGTTCACTCTACTTTGTCTCAAATTATTATTTCACTATAAGTTTACTGCTTTCTTCACTTGTGAATGAAAAAATCATTTAGGACTTGCTCAATAGTTGATACTTCTAATTTGCTTCAACCTTCCAGGAAGTCATCATTTAGTAGCATAATGAGCTATCACTATACAGTCAATTTAAATAATTAATTAAATGTATTAGCCAGTCACCAGTAACTCATGCCTGTAATCCTAACTCCTTGGGAGGCTGAGATCAGGAGGGTCACAGTTTGAGGTCAGCCCAGGCAAATAGTTCATGAGACCCTAACGCCAAAATAACCAGAGCAAAATGGACTGGAGGTGTGGTTCAAGTGATGGAGAACTTTGCAAGTGTGAAGCCTGGAATTCAAACCCCAGTCCCACTAAAAAAAAAAAAAAGGAATAGGTATGGTGTATAATTAGAAAGAATTGACACCCTTACCTTCAGTAATTATATACATCTAAAATTTCTAATGCTTAGCGTACTACTTTGTACAGGAATTTTATAGAAATAAATGGTTTTTAATTTTAAGATAGTTTTAAGTTTATAGAAAAGTTTTGAAAATAATGCAAGAGTTTAATGTATTGCCCCACACTCAGTCTCCCCTCGTAATATATTACGTTAGTGCAGCTCATGAGCCAATATTTGATGTGTTATTATTAAAGTCCTACATTATTCAGATTTCCTTAGTTTTGCCTAATGTTCCTTTTGTGATCTGGTATCTCATCCAGGATGCTACATTACATTTAGTTCCCTGTCTCATTTGGCTGTTACAGTTTCTCACTTCCCTTGTTTTTGATGACCTTGACTGTCTTGAAAAGTACAAAGCTAAGTATTTTACAGAATGACCCTTACCTGGAATTTGTTAGAGGTTTGTCTCAGAATTAGACTAGTGAAATGGGTTGTGTAATGTGTTCCCCAAACCATCTCACGTTCAGTGATTTGCTAAGAGGACTCATAGCATTCAGCCTGTCATCACATTCACAGCTATGTTTTGTTTCAGTGAAAGGAGACAAACCAAGATAAGCAAAAGGAAAGAGTGCCTGGGACAAATCTTCAGGACACCAGGCACAGGCTTCCAGGAGTGCTCTCCCCATGGAGTTGCAGGGAATGTACTTATTTCCCTCAGGAATATGTTGTGACACATGTGAAATGCTGTGTGCAGGGACATTTATGAACTCCACCCCTAAAGTTTTTATTGGCTGATCATGATCATGGAGGTACCTTTTGCCTAGCACATACCAAAATTTCAAACTCCCAAAAGGAAAGCAGGTGTCCAGCATAAAGCACATTGTTTGTATAAACAATTTAGGCATGGTGAGCAACTCATTAATGAGGATGGTTGCAGCCCACTCCAAAGTTAAGCTCCTGAATGACACCCCAGGGCCAACCTTGTAGTGCAAATAGGCCTGCTGAGTTAACTCCTCTTTGCTTATAGATTTTGGGAAGGAAGATTACAGAGATCAAATGTCATTCTCATCACATAAGTATATATCATCAATATGACTTATCATCGTTGATTTTAACACAAGAATGTTTTCATGAATGAGAGGAAAACATAATAATTATCATATATCCCTTATAAAGTTTCCTGTTGCTACTGTAATAAATTACACAAATGTAGCCTAAAACAGCACAATTTTATCATCTTACAGTTGTGGAGGTCACAAGTTTGAAAATTGTCTTATGGAACTAAAATCAAGATGTTGGCAGGGTGCATTACTTGTAGAGGCTCTAGGGCTGAATCTTCTCCTTGCTTTTTCCAGCTTCTGGCTTATGTCCTCGTGTTGCCCCCTTCCAGCAGTGGCATCACTCCAACCCCTGGTTCTTTCTCACATCTCTCTGATTCTTTTAAGGGTCCTTATCATTACACTGGTGCCCCTAAGTTAATCCAAGGCCATTTCAAGGCCCTTAACTTAATCATAACGGCAAAGTCCCATTTGCCATGTAATGTAACATTCACAAGATCCAGAAATTAGGACATGGACATCTAAATGTGGATAGTTACATGGACACAGACAATGATGCTGGTAGCCAGAATCATTATTGTGCCTACCTCACCCAACTGTATGTCCTGAAGGCCAAATAATTTTCTAACACCATTTTATGAGAAAATTTATCTCTATTTTACAGACATGGAAACTGAGGTTTAGAGAAGTTGAATAACTGCCATATGTCCACAAAACTAAGTGTTTATGGTCTTAACCATTAATCTATAGATTGATGAAAGGTTTTTGTATTATATTTTTCCTTGATGATTGAGTAAAACATTTTACTATCATATACCTTTAGTCTTCATTCATTCTTTCCTTTATTTAATCAATGTTCATTTAATGGTTTACTCTTTGTCAGAAACTGGGCTTAGTACTGGGGATACAGCAATGAATGAAATACCAAGGTTCCTTCATCAGTGGGGAAGAAACATGTATTCCAGAGTTCACGTTCTTATGCATTTTCAAAAATGCCATATTAAGAGAATTTTGGCTGGCATTGTACTTATATGGGATTGTTTTGGCCAAGACCTTGGGATGCAACTGATGGTCTTAGAGCAGTCACAAGAATCAAGATTGATTGGGAGAGGATAGGAAGAATATTCAAAGGTAAGGAAGATGATTAAAGAGAAGAAGAGGAAAATGGTTAGCTGACGAATTATGATGCACTTGTGAGAAATTTAGATATGATTCTGAGGATGCCATGTAGCTGCTGGAGAGTTCTGAGAAGCACTGAGCCCAGAATGCAGCTGGAGGTCAGTAAATGGTTACTCATTGGAGAAACTGAACAAATAAATGATGTATCCAATGTTTCAGGCATGGTAAATGATTTAAGAGTAGAGGCTAACAGTGGTTCTTAACCCTGGCTGCTTTCTGAAATCCCCTCAGAAACTTTAAAATATACCAGTGGTCTAGGTTGTATCATATTATGCTTCAGGTAGTTGAGGCTGTGTGTGGGTGGCTGAATGGGAGCATAGGTATCTATTAAAAGATAGTATAAATATTTATGTCCAAGTAACATTTTGTATATTCAGATAACTTTCCTTAGCCTGGAATTGAGAAAATGTGAGTTGTGATTAAGAACAAGGGGCAACAGAAGAGAGGATGGGTGATGGTAAGAGTTGATGACAGCAAGAGTTAGCAATTAATGAACTTCACTTTATTCTAGTTACAGTATGAAGTGTTTCACTTATATTACCTGATTTAAATGAGCCATTAGGTCACTGGAACATAGGGAAGCTCTGGGAAGGTCAGGCTTTCCCAGAGATAGGAGCACAGATCTCCTCAGGCACTGGGGCTGGGAGAGGTAGAACAAAGATGCACACTGTCTTCCCCAAGTGCTGTGGTTTGAATGTGTCCCTTCCAAAATCCAGCTATTGCCAGTGAGGTAGTAGTATTAAAGAGATGGAGCCTTGAAAAGGTGATTAGGTCATGAGGGCTTCTCCTCATCAATGGGACTAAGGTCCTTATAAAAGAGACTATTTGACCTTCCATCTTCTGCCATATGAGGACACGGCAAGAAAGCCCTCATCAGACCCAATGCCAGCACCTTCATCATCGATCTCCCAGCCTCCAAAACTTGAGGTAATCATTTTTTATTCTTCATAAATTACATGGTGTCAGATACTCTGTTATAGCATCATAAACAGATTAAGACACTAAGTTACGTGTAAGGCTAACTCATTTGGGAATGAGAAAAATCAGAATTGTCAGTGAGCTAATCCTAAAGTGACACAAACAGAAAACTGAAATCTATGCCGTAAGATGGAGCTTACTGCTAGCTG